GAGTGTGGAGAGGGCTTGAGCCAGGACAATTGGGACAGAGTTTTCCACACTTCCGTCATTCCCACATGGCATCATGATTCTCATAATATTGCTACACTGCCATTGCCTACTTTAAAAGTTTTTACAAAAATCTAACCGTGTTATAAACCTAAGTGCATTTATATATTCATTTAGTAACAGCTTTATTGTGATTTAATTCAAATATCCTTTAACAGTATACAATTCGGTGGTTTTTAGTTTATTCAAAAGATCGTGTGGTCATCACCCCTGTTTAATTTCAGAACATTTTCATCATATCCAAAAGAAACCTTGTACCCATTAAGCAGACACTGCTCATCTGCCCCTCCCCCCAGTTCCTGATAACCACTAATCTTTCTGTCTGCATGACTTTTCGTACTCTGGACTTTTCACATATGTAGAATCAAATATGTGGCCTTTTGCATTTCCACTGGGTTCACAGGTTTAATATTTTCAAGGTTCATACATATTATAGCATACATCAGTCCTTCATTCCTTTCCATTGCCCAGTAATATTCCATGGTGTGGATATACCACATTTAATTTATCTGTTTATCAGTTGATGGACTTTTAGGTTGGACTTTTTGGCTATTGTGAGTAATGCTGTCATATACACATTTTTGTGTCGACATATGTGTGTTTTTTGTTGTTGTTTTGCAGCTGGCCAGTATATGGATCTGAACCTTTGACCAGCTGAGCTAACCAGCCAGCCTGTTTTTAATTCTTGTAGGTATATATCTAGGAGTAGAATTAGTGGGTCATATGGTACCTTCTATATTTAACATCGTCAGGAACTGCCAAACTGTTTTCCAAAGTGGTGTGGTGTACTAATTTATAATGCCACCAGCAATGTTTGAGGGTTCTAGTTTCCCCACAACCTAAGTACATTTAGTTTTTTTGTTTGTTTGTTTTTTCCTTTTTGTCTTTTTTCGTGTCTGGCAACGGATCACAACCCTCAGTGTCACGCCCGTACCGGACCGGGACCGGCAACGGGATCGGCAACGGGATCGCAACCCTCGGTGTTGCTCCCACACCTCGCTCAGCCAGTGAGCGGGAACCGGTCTGCATGTGGGATCCGAACCCTCGGCGGGAGCGCCACCGCACTCCCAAGCGGCACACTGTAGCAGTGCGCCACTGGGCCGGCCCAGTACATTTAGTTTTTAAAGAAAATTTATAACACTACCAGAAATCGTCTTCAATAATATAAACAGAAGTTAATTGTCAAATCAAACAGTAAGAGAACTAAACAATATTGTTCATTTCTAGCTTAGTACTTTTGCCTTATGAAGGTTCTGCACCTGAAGTCTGCTGTCTTTTCAACTGAAAGGGAGGATTAGGCAATATTAGAAAGGTGTTCAAGACATATTAGCACTAAGCTGAGACTTTCTTATTGACATTGTTGAAAAAGAACTGAAAATGGAATAACTTTCTATGTGACTCTGTCATTAGAAGTAGTGTCTAAATGTCAACTACCATGTGTGTGTATTACCTCTTTGGAACTCGTGGAAGTAAGATGCACGGTGCCTTCTGCAACCCATTTCATCTTGTTTCAGCAGTCAGCATTATGGTTACATTGTGCGGTAACTCAGAGATGGCTACGGTAGTGTTTGTCATGTTATTTGTTTTCTTCTCGTGGTCTGATATTTTCCTAGAGAACTCTTGGGTAAATTTGAGAAACTATCAAAATTGCTACTTTCTTGATAGGATAATAGATATTAACCCAATAATTCCATTTCTGCCAATGTAATCTAAGGAAATAATGCAAAAGAAGAAAAAAAATCTATTGACCCATGGATGTTTAGTGCGTGACTATTTTTTTTTAACAGTTATAAGTTTGTTTCAAACTGGCTTAAGCAAAATGGAATTTATTGGCTTAATAACTAAACTGTTCAAGGTTAGGATCAGGTGCACCTGGATCCAGGTAATGTCACTGGAGATCTGGCCCGCCATCCTTTGGCTCTGCATTCTACTGTTTATGTTGATTCCCATTTAGGCTTTACCAGTGGGGTGGCCAAGACAGTTGCCATCAGCTCCAACCTTAACAAGTCTTCAAATATCCTGGATAGCAAATGTCCACTCCAGTCCCCTTTTATAAACTATAAATAAGAACGTGGTTAACCATCAAAGCGATGCTAGAATTCCCCGCGACCCATTCCCTACCCAAACCCAGTGATTAAAAGGGATAAGAAGTTCAAGGTTCCGAGAGTGGACTCCCTTGGATCCTGGCAGAGTTTCAGTGACGTTTGAGAGGTGCTGAGTGTGCCATCTGTAGGAGGTGGTGGTAGGCACACCATTTGAGTGCATTAAACTTTATTATGCATTGTGACCACACAACACAAATGCTTATTACCTGAAGCCTGTGATTTTTAATGTAATATGAGAAGTAATGGCATGAGGCCAGCAAAGGTCTCATTAAATCCCAACCACTGATACTTGAACTGGCACCAAGAGAGGCTTTTATTTTTCTTTTTAGTACCTGTCACCAGACACCATGAAAGATTGCAGTCCCCAGCCCCTGCTTTTTGTACCATGCAGGTCCAAGTCACTGAAGCCTGTAGAGAAAAGAAGAGGTGGCCTGCTGTGCTGCAGGGAGTGCAAGCTCTTTTTAATTAAAAAGAAAAGTATTTGTCAAATCGTTTGGGGACCCAAAAACTACAGATAATAACAAAACGAATTTCTGTATGCCCACCACTCAGCTAAGAAATAAAATTTTAATCCCCAGAAATAACTGCCACCCTGTATTTGGTGTTTTTAATCCTCCTGCATGTGTTTTATTCTTAGTACATGTATCTGTGAATAACATACATTGCTGTTCTGCTTGTTTTTAAGCTTCATCTAAATGTCATTCTGTTGCTGTTCTTCTACAGACTGCTTTCTTTCCTCTTTGGCCTTATGTTGGTACGTTCCATTCTGGTTTATTCATTTTCATAGCTACATGGTACCCTGCCATTTAAACATATCAATTATATTCCTGATTCTCCTTTACATGGACAGCAAAGTTTATTTCCAGTGTTTCATAATCATAAACAGGGCTGCTCTGAGCATTCTTGCCTGGGTCTTATGCAAATGTGCAAGAGTTTCTTCAGGTTATGTATGTAGGAGTAGAACTGGAGGGTGTATGTCCATCTTCACCCTGCTAAAAGTTGCCGAACGACTCTCCAAAGTGTCTGGACCAACTTAAGCTGTCTCCAGCAATGTCTGGGCTGTCCCTTGCCCCATATCCACACTGAAGCTCAGTATGGTCAAACTTTTATTTAATTTTATCATTTTGCCAATCTGAAAATAAAATTGAACCCCTTTATTGTTTGAATTTGTATTTCCCTGATTACTAAGGTTAAAACTTGTTATTCGTGCAGAAGTCCAATAGGTCAAGCTAAATTAGGTAGAGTTCTGTTTGGGGCAGGAGGAGGGTGTTCTTATTTAAGATATGTAAGCGATTGCATTTATTGTTAGTACATTTGAACAGCGCTTGTGTTCCTAAATACTGGGCATAATTTTAAGCAAATGAGTTCACATTAAATTTCTTTTGTAGCATATTTTGGCTAGTGTCTTGACTGTGATTTTTTTAACTGACTGATATTTTAGCATTATCTTTAACATATCCTTCCCACCCTTTTACATGTTAATTGGGAGTTGGCTTTAGTAGTGAGCATGAAAACCCACCCATGAAGCCAAGGAAAAGAACAGGCATGTGAGTCCTGCAGGCAGGGGTCTGCAAATTCTCCAGGCACACCCTTGATTTAATGCCTTTGCTCTGTTTGTCCCCTCTGCCTGGAATGCTCCTCCCCCAGCAATGCACTTGGCTTACTCCCTTACCTCCTTCAAGTCATTGGCAGATCTCACCTTCTCAGTGAGGCCTTTCCTGACTTGGTGCTATATAGGTACTCAGTAAATATTTGTTGATTAATGAGTGTGTTGGAGTTAGCAAGAAGAGAGGGTGGGGAAGAGTATTTCTGAGAGAGAATGAGAGAGGAGAGAGAGAGAGAGAATGTATATGCCAAGACATGGAACTAACGCAGCATGGTCTTGTGGGGTAGAAATGAAACAGAGAATGTGTGAATGTAAGTGTGACCATGACCATGATTATGAGCAGCCACCCTCAGGCTGGAGGTGCTGTAGGCCCTTGCAAGTGATGTACGTAGGAGGCATAATCAGCAGTTTGGACTTGATTTTAAGGGCAGCCGGGAGCCCTTACATGATTTTATCAGGAAATAACATGATCCTATTTGCATGTTAGAAGAACATCACCCTTGTACCAACAAGGGGAAAGCATAAGGTGGGCGTTAAAGGTAAGACTGGAGGGAGGTGCACCACCTAGGGGGCTGTCACAGTGATCAAGGTGAGAGAAGGTAGGGACCACATTGGGTAACAGCAGGGGGATGAAGATAAGTGGGCAGTTTCTGACATACTTAGGACATCTCTACTGTCTTTTCCTATGATCCCTGAAAGTAAAGTGGAAACCACGTAACTCTCCACATCTGGACTTAGCTGAGCCATGAGGCTGTGCTTCTACTAAGCATGTTCTTAAGTAATCAGATTGGAAAGTTTCCCCAAGTGCTCCACCCGCATCTTCAACTTTCCTCCTGGTGAAGGAAATCTGGAACGAGCCTGCCATTATTCAACAGAGAGTGAATAATGGAGCAGTGTGCTGATTGAACTCGAAGGTTTTGGAAGGAAGGTAGCATTTGACATCCAAGTTCCCCCAGTCTCCAAATCTTTTGTGCAAGTAAATTAGTTTCATTTGTCTCAGGGCACCTTTTCTGGGCCAACTTCTTCCAACTTGCCTGCAAATGTTTCTCAGTGGTGTGTTTGAGGCTTGGCTGCCTCTCCTTGTCTGGAATAAATCCTTTATTACTAGGAAATAGCTGGATGATGATTCTGGACTCTTGGACTCTATTCCCCTCTCAGCTGTTGACTCAGTATTTGATACCTTGGTCATTTTCAGCTTAACCTGTCCTCTCTCCTGCCTGCTTCTCATTAATATGAATTTCACACTGGAAGCTGAATTTCACACCCACAACCTCACCAATCTTTGGTGAGACAGTTGGGATTAACACCTGTTTCTTCAAGACTCTCCCGAGATGTAAAAGGGGTGCACATGTTGTTTTCTTTGCTCACCTCCCGGACTTGCATAATTTTCCTTTGGTCCAGTGGTCATGCATTCCACCACAACCTAAAAACATCCAGATGATGGGAATATCATGTTGCTCATTTCACGTGGGAAAGCCACAACCCACCCTTTTCTTGTTCAAGTTGCATTTAAATCTAATTTCCACGGCCCGTGCGAGTGGGAGCACCACAGCCCTTGTGTCAGCTGTTGAAGTTTAGCAATCCTATTTCCAAACACGGGCCAGTAGGCAGCCAGCAGGCACCAGACAGCTGAGTGCTGGCAGAAAAAGTCTCAGACACCTATAGCAGTCCAAACAGTGACTCATCCTGCTATTGCCAGGATAAATATGGGAATAAATGGTATTTTTCTGTAAGCAGGAAGAATTGTCAAAATGCTTATCACTTTATAAAATATAACAGATTGTGCCTGTTCATGTTTCAAAATGTTCCAACCGTTCACTATTTTTTTTTTTTTTTTTTTTTTTTTTTAGTTTAGTAATAGCTTTAACTTGTATTTCTTCTTTCTAGGAGACCCGGAGGACCCAGGAGTTTCCAAGCTGTGCTGCCACCCGAGCTCTGGATCCACCTGGCTGTGGTGGCCTGTGGCAATCGGCTGGAGGAGACACTGGTCATGCTCAAATCAGCTGTGCTCTTTAGCCACAGGAAAATCCAATTTCACATCTTTACTGAAGACTCTCTGAAGCCTGAGTTTGATAAACAGGTGAATTTGTGAAAATCGTGGCATGAATTTACTGAATACAGACAGATACATCTTAGGAACTTCCTGTCCTGTTCACTAATGTATTTTGCTGCATGCTCAATTGTGTGACTTTGACCACTTGACTCTGAACCTTACTTTCCTCAGGTGTGACAGAGGGGTAATTACACATACCTCATAGACATTTGAGGACTGAATGAGATGGTAACACTTAAAGCACCTGACACAGGCCTTGATCCTTGCTGGTGTTATTAGCATTGTTCTCATTTGGGGGGAAATAGCTTATTTTATCTGTTTATGTTTTTTTTTTTTTTTTTTTTTTTTTTTAAATTTAATAGATGACCGGTAAGGGGATCTCAACCCTTGGCTTGGTGTTGTCAGCACCACGCTCAGCCAGTGAGCAAACCGGCCATCCCTATATGGGATCTGAACCCATGGTCTTGGTGTTATCAGCACCGCATTCTACCGAGTGAGCCACGGGCCGGCCCTATCTGTTTATGTTTTTAAAGTAACAAGTAATATATGTTCATTGAAGTAAATTCAAACGATATAGGTGATAGGTGAAAAGATGGAAGTCCTCACTACGCTTCAGTCCCACACAAGGAATAATCACAGTTAACAATTTTGAGTGGCTCTTCCACATGTTCTTTTTTATATGCAGGTGTGTGTATGTGTCTGTATTTGTATATGTAGATAAGCATATTTGTAATTATATACATATGTATGTATGCAAATTATTGGGGTGTTTTTTATAACAAAATCAAGAATATACTCTATATGTTATGGAACTTGCTTTTCTACACTTAAAACCATGTCATCCGCATTGTTCATGGTCAGTACATTTGTATCCTTATTTTGTCCTTTTTGGTGACTACATAGTATTTTACTATGTGGCTGGGTCACTGTTCATTTGACTCTTTTCATACTGACAAACAAGTAATGAGTTTTTACCAATATAAAAGAAGAGCTTTGGGAAGGCCTCTTCCACTAGAGTAGGTACATGCATGACCTTTACAGACCAAGCTTTGTTTTCCTTGAAAGTTTTCTCTTGCTGTAAGTTCTTGAATGCTGGCAGAGAGAGAACTTACTTTGTTTTGTATCTGCCAACTTGAGTCAACAGTGTAACACCATGTCACCAGGCTAGCCACGCTAATGAGAAATACCCAAAAAAGCAAGTTGGGCAGAGAAAGGTTAATAATAGAAAGCTAGAAAACATGTTATGTTTTTGAAGGAAAAAAATCACCTTGACATCTTCACCAAGAGAAGCCAGGGGAGAAAATAGTCTTAGAACTTATTGAAAAATGCTTTGTAAAAGATCTGATTTGGGGGAAGGGGGAAGGAAAAAGGTTGAAACACTCATAACTAGCTGCTTTGAAGCTGTAGTATAAGGGAAATGATAATAATATATAACATTTGTCAAGGGCTTATGATTTATGATTTCATCTCATTTAATCCTCACAACAACCCTTTGAAGAAGGTAAACATCATGTCCCCATTCTACAGACTGAGATAATTGAGGCTCAGAGAGTTTTAGTGATTTGCCCATCAGGTGTCAGGTCAAGTTTACTAGCTCAAACCTCCATGGTATTAACCACTCTACCATACTGCCTCCTGAGCTAGTAGACAGAAGACTCAAATTCAAACTCAGGTCCACTATTTACTTGCTGCATGATCTTGGGCAAGTCTTTTGGCCTTTTTGAGCCTCTGTTTCCCCATCTGCAACTGGGAGCTAACAGGATTGATAAAAGAGATGATATATCTGTAATCAAGATAGGTTAGGTCAGGCTGCAGTAACAACTCCTAAAAAGCTTGGAGACTTCCCGCATGCCTGCAACTTGTCTTCCATGGAGGACAGAGTCTCTGTCCCACGCAGCCTCTTAGATCTCGGGTGCGAGCTGGCTGAGGCTCTTCATGTGCGTAGCTGCACCTGCTGGAGCATTTGGCATCTATGCTTCCTGGGATGCTGGTTCAGGAAAGAGAGAGACTGGAGAATCATGACTGTGCCTTTCACTCCCTCAGCACAACAGTGACACAGGTCTTTTCCACACACATTTAACTGGCCAGAAGCAGTCAAAGGCCCATCCAACCACTGGGGACTGAGAAGTGCTCTGTATGCAGGAATGTAGGGAAACTGGATAAGGGTGAACACTGGTCAAGTTCTGCACAATATCTATCTAACAAGTATTTATTGAGTACCTACTGCATGCTAGAAGCTGGGGTGTAGAGATGGAGCAGAATAAAATACAGATTTGGCCTTAAAAATGATAAGGGAAGGAAGATGTGTAACTGTATCTGTGTGGCAGATTGTGCTTTCCAAAGAGGCCCCAGTGGTCCTGCCTCTTGTTACTCACGTCCTTGTATATTTCCATCCTACGCTGTCCCAGAGTCAGTCTGTGTGACCAATAGCATGGCGCAGAGTCATGGTATGTCACTTCTGAGATTAGGTTATACAAGGCACTTTACCTTCCAACCTGGGTCACTTTAGTTATCTCCTGCATCTCTCACTCTGGGGGAAGCCAGCTGCCATGTCAGAGTAGCCTTCACCCCTGCATGGTGAGGACTGAAGGCCTCTTGCCAGCAGTCATGTGAGTGAATTTGGAGGCAGACCCTGCAGCTCCATCAAGCCTTCAGATGACTAGAGTCCCCAATCTCATAAGAGACCCTGAGCCAGAACAACCAGCTTGCAGGTCCCTAAGAAACTATATGAGATAATAAATGGGTGTGGTCTTAAGCTACTAGGTTTTAGGGTAATTTATTTTAAAGCAATATGTATGTATATATAAAATATAGTATGCCAAATGTAATGCTATGTGACATCTGAGGCTAGGTCATAAAAAGAACACAGCTTTTGGCTAGTTTTTCGTTGGGATGCCTGCCCTGGAACCTGGTCACTGTGCTTGAGGACAACCAAACTATCCTATACAGAGAGACCACATGGAGAGGCCCATGCAGAGAGGGTGGCCAGCTGACAGCCAGCCTCAACCACCAGACATGTAAGTGGATGAGCTTTCAGAGCAGCCCCAGCATTAAGGCTTCCAGCTGAGGCCCCAGACTTCATGGAGCAGTCAGCCTGTTCCTACGTCCCTTGTCCAAATTCTTGATCCATGGAATCTGTGAGCATAATGAATGGTTGTTTTATACTCCTGAGTTTTGGGAGTATAAGTTGGCTCATTTGTTATGAGCCATAGTAACTGGAGCATTATCAATTAGGAACTACATTGCATGGGAAAATTATTGTAGACATTTGTGAAGCTGTGGTATGTCCCTGATGACTTGCTTGACCCTTCTGCAGGCTCATTTCCTCACATCTTTGTTAAACCAATGAAGCTCAACTAATGAAGGAAATTAAAACAGGGTGTTAAAAGCTAGGCAGGGCATGTAGTATCACCCCTTTCTTTTCCATACAGAGATTATGGTACTAGTTTAGATTTAAAACATTGGTCCTTAGTTAGGTCATAGAACTTCTCTCAGCCTCAATTTTGTCATCTGTATCCCAGGGCAAATGATACTTACTCTGCTTATTGAGGAGTGTAATTGTGAGGCCAAATCAGGTCATATATTTCTTCTTTCATTCCACAGAGATTCTTTGGAACATCTCCTATATGTTGGGTACTTTGTCAGGACAAAAGAAATAGAGCAGCAGCAGTTGGTTCCTGCTGAGCCACAAGCAAATGCTGGTGCGAAGGGCATGTCCCCCTTCTCATGGCTGTCATTTCTAACACTGAGGCATTGTGGGCATATCCAGAGTTTCTTGTAATAACTTCCCAGGGAGCTCAGGGCCACATATTTTACCTCAGGGTGAAAACAAAACAAAATGCCAATTGCCATTACGATTCCTTTGGAGGCTGCAGTATGGGCGAATTCTTCTATATTTAAGTAGTTTTTCTGAAAGTTGCATAAGTACAATATGCCTGGTGGTATTTGTACACATCTGCACTATATTCACAGTCGTCCCTTGGTATCCATGGGGGATTGGCTCCAGGACCTCCCATAGGTACCAAAATCCACAGATGTTCAAGTCCCTGATATAAGATGTTGTAGTATTTGCATATAACCTATGCAAATCCTCCTGTATACGTTAAGTCATTTCTAGATTACCTAATATGATGTAAATGCTATATAGATAGTTGTCATACTGTATTGTTTAGAAAATAATGACATGAAAAAAAAGTCTGTACATCTTCAGTATAGTCACAATTTATTTTTTCCCAAATATTTTCAACCTGTGGTTGGTAGAATCCTTTGATGCGGAACCCACAGATACAGCACGGATACAGAGGGTTGACTGTACATATAGTATTTTAAAATTTCATTTATTTTTGTTATCTCTGAACAGACAAGCAGAAAATGGCAGCTGGTTGATTTCTTAGCCTCTTCTGGCAGCTTGAGATCTGGCATGTGATTTAGATTTGGCTAATCTGTGCTCCTGCTGCAGATGCAGAATCAGAAAATCGTGGGACACAACAGTAAGGAGGCCTGCCAGTCCCTTCAGGTGATAGGTGGGGCCAGTGGACAGCAACATCTTGTGCGTGCATGTGTGTGTGTGCTGGGGGGCTGAGGGAGGACTGCTGTGGCAGGAAGTGTCAGCAGAAGCTTCCAGTGCCTGGAGTCGGTGGGGCAGGCTGTGAGACTTGTAGTGACAGTGGCTGGAGTTTCCTCACCAGATTGGTTAGTAGCAGGTTCCAGTTAACAGACAGACAAGACACACACGCCACCTGGCTCTGGCTCAAGCTGGGCCAGGGTGTAGTCCCCGAGTTTGGTTCTCCAGTTCTCCCCAGTGGTCTTCTGAGCCACCCCATATCCTTTCATTAAAATTTGGGGTGGGGGTGCGTGTGCTGACCAATTAGCTCAGTTGGTTGGAGCACAGCCTTAAAACACCAAGGTCACGGGTTCTAATCCCCATACTGGCCAGCCTCCAAAAATCAACAACAAAAAAACCCAAAATTATTTTTTGCCTTAAACAGCCTGAATTGGTTTTATTGCTTGCAACCTAGCCTCCTGTG